ATATATGTGTATATATATATATATTGCTCTCTATATAAATATATATATGCTTCCCCATGTATTGTTTGTTCCCCGCTGTGTACTTACCGCGGACCGCCGGGGAGACTCCGCCCACTGTACATAGTTGTATGAAAAATAGGATTATGATAAGAAATCACGGTAATCATCTTCTGCGACACAATAAAGGCTAGGACGAGGACATCAACCACAACAATTACTACAACAACAAGAATAAGAACAGCAACAAAGAAGTGAACCTAATGGAATAATTACGACAATATTAAAGCTATATATAAATCTATATATATATATATATATATATATATATAATAAATTTACGGAGGTAATATTACTAACTTTTCTTTTTCTGTTTGTTTACTGACATGACATTAGTAGAGAGGAGAACGGGTGCTGCTATTGGGGGGAGGGGTATGCCGTATGAACGCGCTTAAGTGAAACGATTTCGTGACTTTTCTGTATGAATGGGATAAATATATTTGTACCTATTATATAATAGTAATCAATACAAGTTGTATTCGAGCTTTACTGATAAGCGAAATCCAGCGGAAAAGAAAAAGCCTGCCTTTGAAAAAAGATTCAAAATAGATCTTGTTTCTTGTAGTTCAGTGTGGATATTTCTTTCTTGATTTAGGGGATAGGGATTTGAAATCTGCTTAACCAATTGGCCGACAAGTTTTACAAGAAGAACGACTATCTCATAGATAGGTAGATATATTTAAGATACTCCGTAAAATATTACATGTAAGTTATCTGCCTGAGTGACTGAACGCCGTCGCCATCCTACAAAATTAGCCGATTTTAAAGCGTAATATATAAAGGTATTTTTATTAGCGGCATTGATAAGCCGAACAAACTGACGAACAGCGAGTTCTGAGTAAGGAAAACCGTTTTCTGTCCAAGCCGAGCCGTAGGCAGACTCGGTGCTTTCGAGTCCACTCGTCACCATTTCTATTTAAAAGAATGACGCGACTTTAACGAGAGTGCAACGATGGCAAAACAAGGCCATTAGTATAACATAGTAGTATACTAATGATAACTATGTGACAAAACTGCCACAAAACCGCTGCTGCTATCATTACTACAAAACCCATGACGAGCATAAAAGACTATAATAGTGAAATGGATAATAACATTAATGGTAATTATGTGGGCAGATACCTTTAAAGAGAACAACGGTCAGCTGGTTGTTATGGCGCCTCGGAACGGCAACAGAGACTGAGTGTGTGCGACGCCCCTCGTAAATTTAGAGGAGTAGGTAAGCAAAAGAAATAATTGGAGAATAAGGCGAACGCCGCTAATGAAAACCACTGCTACTGAAGTGGCTTGGATGATGATGTGGATGAAAGCCACCAAGACGAGAGGATGACTACTGCAGCGTGATGATAAATGGCACAAAGCTCAAGCAGCCGCTTGAGTTAATAGAACGAGCGAGTGGCTTGTGACTCGTTAGCAAACCGACTGAAAGAAGAAGAGCCGCAGAAAGACGATGTCGGCGAAAACAACAGAGACAGCAATAAGCATACAGGCGCGTTCCCAGTGAACCGCAAATCGAAAACGATGTTGGTTGTACGGTAGATATGAGTGACGATATATATATATATATATATATATATATATATACATATACATATATATATATATATATATATATATATATATATATATACATATATATACATACAAAATTTTACAATCGACGAAGAGGGGAAGAAAGTAGAGGAAAGACACGCAAACGAGAAAAGGCGTTGCGTTATGCTTACACCTTTAGAGGAAGTCTCCAACAGAGATTCATCATAGATATGCACGTGAATGCTTACGACACGGATGATGATTATGATGATGACTATTCATGTGGTGGCGGTGTAAATGCGTGTTGTTTCTAAACTTTCGGGGCATTTAGGTCGTGTGGCATAATGGAGTTTTGCTATGGAAACATAGAGAGAGCGCTTGTACGCTACGATAAAAGGAAAGGATTGCAAAAATCTGAGGGCTCGGAAAAAGAGCAGGGCTGAGCGAAAAATTAACATGGTGCCATCCTAGAACACTGATAGCAAGTAAAAGTCTCGTCTTGATGGTAGATGGTTTCTGCGGCGCAAGTGATCTGACGCGGCGTCCTGTACATAAGATAGCGTTAGATGTAACCATTTTGTTAAAAACGCTCTCCTTAGTTAAATATAATACGTTGACTTCTTCGCTCAGTTTTTGTGGGCTTTCTTTGGAAAGATTGCAACTCTTTAATTAAATTAAGCGGCGTTCGTTCGGCAGCTATTATCATCTCAAGTTTCAAATAAGCATTTTTATCGAATCACTAATCACAAGACACTTACACGCCATAGGTGATGAGCACTGGCTACGTTGAACACGCACTGGTACCACATATGGTTATACCTATTAGCATACGAATTAGAAGTCAAATGAAGGTTTCGATTTTTAACCATCATTAAAAGCTATGCCATGATGCATGTTACTATTAAGTCGCGATTATTAGCTAGATGCGTACGTAGTTGCTATCTAATATTCGCGCTTGACGTGACTCTAACATTATATGTCGGTACGCGTTTTGATGCCTTCCAACCTACTAGGTCGACGCAATGGTTTGCTTTCCTGTAGTTTTTTGACTTGCGAATACAGTGCTCTTAAATATACTCTTCTATACTGGCTCGCTGAACCCCACTTTACTCTTACCTATTTTATGGCTATACGTATTATCTTTATTCGCTTTTATTATGTCACGATTTTTTTGCTCTACAAAAGTTTGAAGGTGGAAAGTACAACAAAATTAGGATCGAGACATACCTCTAAACTACCGCCGACAGAGAATGTAATAATCAGGTCTTGACACTTAATAGTAATTTCCAAAAACAGAAGTAAAGTGTTACACTAATAGAGCACTCTAAGTGGAAGTGACCACTGCGTACTTGTTATCGTCGCTTGTGAGGTTCTAATTGTAATACCAATATCAAGCAAACCTAAACGAAACCGCTCATTTCAAGCTCGAATGCGTAGGTTGTCTTATATGTCTTAAGTGTGTTTTTATACATCTTGGGTATGGGCTTGACCGATGCCAAAGCGAAAAAGGGGTGACACCATCATATAAATCGGGCCACTTTAATGATCGGATAGCCAGTTTGAACACAGCTCTCCTTTCTGACCATTGCCAACGCTAATCGTAGTGGTAACGTTTAACTACATCACAGAGTTTATCACGGTACTTCTATATTTACATAGGCAAACTGAGTGCATCTCATCGCTTTGCCTTTATCTATGCCCGAAGCGTTTCATTAGCATTTGTTAGTCGTCTATGAGTCCACATAAGTTCACCCATCATTAGCAAGCAATGTGGTTGCTAGACTGCGGCTGGAATAAACGTCACGCTGGGACGAACACGAGGCTAAGTTGCAAGGAGAATTGATTTACTTATATTTGGCTCAAACGATAGGTCGGTTAGACGGTACACATAGAAGCGGAACGGAGAACGAACTCAACGGAGAGGCAGAAAAGACACAAAAATATCGATGAGACTATTTGGAACGGGTCGATCTTGAGCTTGTTCGACAGGTCGTGTGTATGATATAGACCCTGTTGATCCAATGGCGGGACGGCAGAGCCCAACAAGCTTGGGCACGGTTTTATATGTAAAATGAACGGAAATGAGTATAGAAATAAATTAGATATTCCATTGCCATATACGTCGGAGAGTTGTCATTTAACGGAAAATTTTTTATTTGTGTAGACATAGATATCATAGGAATGCAGTTAATACGATACTAGCGGGATGAACAAAATAGTAGAAGATGAATATCACACAAGGACAGAATGTTTCAGCAATCCCATATTTGGGTACCACTAGTTGAATTTTCGATGCGTCAGA